TCACCTACCTCAAATTCCTCATCTCTGCGCTTCCGATCTGCCATTTGTTTCATACGATTGTTGGCAGACATGAGGTGGTTTTTAAGTGCACCCAATAGTTGGTCACGCTCCTGTAATTGAACATCGATTTCTTCCACCAAGGAGGACCCTTTGTCATACTTGGGAATTACAGGTGGCGGTCGGCCGTATAAGGCTTCAAAAGGTGTCATTCCCGTGGAGGCGTGGAACGTGGTATTGTACCAGTATTCGGCCCAGGGCAATAAATCACTCCATTGTGTTGGTCTGTGTTGTATAAAGCAGCGAAGAAATTGTTCAATACACCGGTTAATGACCTCTGTCTGCCCGTCAGTTTGCGGGTGATATGCTGATGACATTCGGAGTGTAGTTCCTGAAAGTTTCCACAACTCTTTCCAGAAATGACTTAGAAAAATGGGGTCACGATCGCTAAGAATTGACCTCGGAATCCCGTGCAGGCGAACAATGCAATCCACAAACCGTTTGGCCACCAGTGCGGCAGTGTAAGGGTGTGATAGAGGAATAAGATGTGCGGACTTGCTTAGCCTATCTACCACTACCAGTATTGTAGTATGGTTGTGGGATCGAGGCAACCCATCCACAAAGTCCATTGACACATCCTCCCAGACTTGATTTGGGATGGGCAATGGTTGTAATAATCCTGCCGGCGACATCGACTGAGCCTTTGCTCGTTGACAAGTGTCACATCTTGACACATATTCTGTGACAGTCCGATGCATAGCCGGCCAATAAAATTGGTGAGACAACCGTTTCATTGTGCGTAGTATTCCCGAATGACCACCCATCGGGGTGTCATGATGTTCCCGGAGGAGCTGTGTAATGAAGATAGAGTCAGGAGGTATTACAACACGATTGTTGTAACACACCAACCCATCCCGCCATGCATACGGTTTTCCTGGGGCGGCCGTAGCTGCTGCTCCTGCCCGTGCCAAATATGGATCAGTTTGCGCTAGCTTTCTCAATTCATCCCATAATGATGCACGTGGTATAGAGATGGAATTGAGCACAGGGCTATCGGGAACGCGTGATAATGCATCTGCGGCTGCATTAGCCTTCCCAGGTCGATAGATGATCTCATAGTCATACCCCACTAGCTTCCCCATCCACTTCTGTTGCTCTGGAGTTAGTATCCGTTGTTCAAGTAGGTACCGGAGGCTACGTTGGTCGGTCTAGATGGTGAATCTGCGACCGAGGAGATATGGCCGCCATGCTCGAATCGCCACAATGATTGCTAGCATCTCGCGAGCATATGTGGACCAGTTTCTCTTTGCCACCCCCAATGTGCGGCTCATGAAAGCCACTGGTCTATCATTCTGAGAGAGAATTGCGCCAATTCCGTCTCCTGACGCATCGGTTTGAATCACAAATGGTTGAGTGAAGTCCGGTAGGGCCAAGGTCAGAGTTGTGGTCATGGCTGCCTTGAGTGCTAAAAACGCGTGTTCTGCTTCGTTGTCCCAGGTGAATTGGCCCCTTCGCAAGCGGTTCGTCAAGGGTCGTGCTATTAGGCCATAATTTTTAACAAATTTACGGTAGTAGCCTGTTAATCCCAAAAAACCCCGTAACTCGGTGATGCTTGTCGGAGCTGGCCAGTCCAACATGGCCTGGATTTTTGACTGATCCACCTTAACACCGTTTCGAGTGATGATATGACCCAAGTACTCTAGCTCCTGTTTACCAAATGCACACTTCTTGAATTTGATGGACAGCTGGTTTTGTTGCAGGATTTGGAACACTTCCCGAACATGTATCAAATGTGTCTCCCAATCTGGACTATAGATAAGGATGTCGTCAAAAAAGACAAGCACTGATTTACGCAGCAATGATCTGAAAATGGAGTTCATAAGTGCCTGAAACGTTGAGGGTGCGTTGCACAACCCAAAGGGCATTACCATATACTCGTAGTGCCCATTATGTGTTCTAAATGCAGTCTTAGCGATGTCTGGAGGGTGCATTCGAACCTGATGATACCCTGCAGTAAGATCAAGTTTGGTGAAGTAAGTCGCCCCATGTAGCTCATCTAACATGTCATCCACCGTGGGAATTGGGAATCGATCTTTAATTGTTGCCGCGTTCGGTGCCCAATAATCAGTGCAAAACCGCCACGAGCCATCTTTCTTTTTTATTCTGCTTACGTGGCCTTGTGGACCGTCTGACTGCCACTTCATCACCTTCACGGCCAGCTGGCTGTTGCTCCTCATCACTGTGGTCGTTCTGTATCAACTCCTCCGGCGGAGAGAACCTCCTCAGAGGTGTACGTTGACCTTACGATTCAGTTCCATGACACCCAGCCACGGCGCGCAGCCTTCGTACTCCGGCGTCAACAACGAAGGTCCGACAGTCTGCAACGGTGCTCGATCCGGGGTTAGTTCGTATCACTGCACAATCCCCGGCGATGCACAATTCTGGGCAAAGAAAGTAGTCCGGTGATGTAGTCCGGCGGCTCCCGTGATCTTTAGTTCTCTTGTTCCGGCGACGGCTTTGGTTTTGTTTGCTCTGTGATTATATAAACGTGGTACATATGTCTGTATGGGTGTATATTTATGTATGCATAACTGGTACGCAGGTTTTGTGTAGGGATTGCCGGTATTTATACTCACAGGAGAAGATTCTAGGCTGTAGGTTTTACACGCAGCTAGGGTTTCGCCGATCACGTGAATTTGTACACGCGTAGGGAAACTTTTAGCTATTTTCCTTATTTAGCATTACGGAGTAATAAATTATTACTCCCTCCGTTGAAAATCTTTTACATTGATTTGAGTTATTATTATTAGCTTAAAGAAAATGTGCGTGCACGAAGTTTATACTTCGTATATTACGAGGTGAATTCATATAATTAAGTATATACTTCGTATGTATCAAGTATCCATGTATCATTATAGTGTTGAAAAGTCAACATTTGCATATGTTATTATTTGTGTATATAAGTATTGCGTACATTTAGTGTGTATTTTGGTTGTGAGTGTAAAAATGCATCATTTTAATATTGTTGTACATACTTCGTATAATTTATGAATTTAGTCAACATCTCACTTTCGTCAAATGTTAAGATTTTATCTCATTGGTATTTTTATCTAGTTATTTTATTTAAATTTTTGGTGTGTCACAGACAATTAGTTAACATCTTGATATCAACTATAGTAGGATTCATCTTCTTTAATATTCTTCCTTGAGTATTAATTAATTCCTATTCATATTTCATATTAATATTTTGAGCATTACTTAAAGGATCAATTAGTTTTGTTTCATATATTAATTATTACTAGAAACGATCAACGAACCGATGGTTAATCGTTGATGGTTTCACAAGTAAGTAACTTCGGTTTATTAATGCATGGTCGTGGTTAATAAACTTAAGAGGGATTAATTTTGTTGGTTAAACCGAAACCGTTGTGTTGAGGTTATCAATCTCAATTGATTTCATCAAGGAGTTAAGAGATTAAATGCTACTATCAAGTCGGTATATGACAGTGTTCTATACTTGACTAATAGTAAGGGTTATTAATGAACGGTCGTTGTTAATAACTACCCTCGATGAATTGGATATACTCCTCGATTGAGTATTCGAGAGGCGATAAGTTATAGATATAACAATGATCGACTGAAATATATCAACAAGTGGAAAGTAGCAATGTCAAGTTCTTTTTATTTTTGAATTAAATCTCATATAAGTCGTTCATCTTCGTGTTTGAATTAATTAAATCACTCAATCAAAAAAAACCCTTTATCTACTAGTTTTATAAAAAGAGAATTATTCCTTTCCCTGTGGATACGAACTCTACTACGCTATACTACGTATAAGTGTTAGTATTGAATTTATTTTGACGCACCGTGACAAAGTGCCCGTCAATGCTAGTTTGTTTAGGAGTATTGTTGGATCTCTCAGGTTTATTTGCAATACTAGACCTGATATTTCCTTTAGTGTAGGACTTATCAGTAGGTTTATGCAACAACCTAAGCAATCACACTTTACTGCTGCTAAGAGAATACTCAGGTATCTAAAGGGTACAAGTGAGTATGGACTGTGGTTTCCGAATACAGTGACATCTGAAGAAGAGAAAGGCTTGGTGGGTTTTTCTGACTCAGATTGGAAGGGGGATACTGTGGAAAGAAAGAGCACCACAGGTTATGTGTTCAAACTGAATGGAGCAACAGTTTCATGGAGTTCAAGAAAACAGCCCGGAGTGTCATTATCAACTTGTGAGGCTGAATATGTTGCAACAACTTATGCAGCTTGTCAAGGAGTGTGGCTAAGTGCTTTGCTTGGTGAAATTCTTGGTGCAAAGCAGGATGTTTTTCAACTATCGGTTGATAACAAATCTGCAATTAACCTTGCCCAAAATCCGGTTTCACATGGAAGAAATAAGCACATAGAGTCAAAATATCATTGGCTAAGGGAGAAAGTAAGTGAAGGAAGACTAGTTTTAGTTTACTGCAAAAGTAAAGAACAAGTATATGATATTTTAACCAAGCCATTGCCTCTTGACAAGTTCAGAAGATTCAGAGAAGAGCTTGGAGTCATAGCTCCAGTTTCTTAATGAGGAATTTTGAATTAAGGGAGAGTGTTGTGTTTGTAATTCAATATTATAAAATGTTGATATAATGTGTGAAAGTGTATGTGTTGTAATGTGGACGTGAGTGCTTACTATATATAGTAAGTCACTATGTACGTTAAGTTTGTGTGTGGCCTTCGAGCATAATAAACTTTCTCTTCCTCTCAATTAGTTAATATACGGTTATTTACCCCATCAGTGGCGAGCTCAATCGACATATCAAGACATTTGACACCAAGGAGCTTGTCTTGAGATGGATAATCACGCCATAGCCAAGGGGCAGGTTGTTAATTATACGAGGACGACACTTTGAGGGGCGGTCCAAAATATAATGACGAGAATTTGGCATGGATCTTTGACAAGGATTTACCAAAATACATAGGGGATTCAGTACGGATACATAGGACATGGAGCCGTCAATCAATACGTATCAAATTTGTGCTAATCCCGTTATTTTGTGTACTAACCTTACTAACATAATCCTCAGATCTAATAATGTCAAAGATGGGGATGCCCTTGCAAGATACAACCAACTATACTTGAATACTGTTGTTAACTAAGCTAGCTACTTTCCAATATTGTCGATGAACTCTTTGGTAAAACCTTTGGTAGGAAAAAGCTTAAAATTCGCTTTCTTACACACCACCACTCATTATATTACAGAGCGAGGCACAAGGTTCAGTCTTTGAGATAGACATGCATTATCTTTAATTAACATACTAAAACAAGGGCAATTAAAGGGAAAATAACAAAAGAAAGACTAGAGTATCTCGGAGTACTAATGAAAACCGCCACCGAGAGGAAGTGCAGCCGCCGCCGCCTTGGCCTCCGGAGGAGGAGATGGGAGCATTACGATGGCAAATACACCACTTGCTGCCGACGCAACTGCACCAGCCACAAAGCCAGGCAAATTACCGCCACCAAACATAGCGTCCCACGGTCCAGCCACCACTGACACGAACATCTGTGCCATGACATCAGATTGTCATTCAATGCTATTATTAATTAATTAAAGGGCGGGGGAAGACACACACACACACACACACACATAGAGTTAAGATCAGATACAAAGCATGCTTCCGATACAAAATACAAATTCATCTCATCCGTCCAAAATTACAAGATCAATGGTAACAATTCATTGGGCAACTAACAACCAGCCGTTAGTGGGGGAAGTAATCCCTATTTTTTTCAACTCCACGTGGTTAGGAAGTTTTGAAGAAATTTTAGGACCTTCCACATTAATTTGCATTTTGTAAATTAAGATGACTTTGTATGTGATCCTAAATCTATATATGTGTGTGTGTGTGGGGATCATATATATGTATGCCAGAGAATAAACAGTCACTCAACTGTATTAGTGTTTTTGGAACAATTAAACATGTAAATTTATACATTAGGACAATTATACTATTGAATTACAATAAAGAGTATATTTACGCACTCCACGTTAATCAAAGCTAATGATTTTAATTAATTAATAATTGGAGTATAATTATCTAGATTGATCTAGTATATATGTTTAAATATGGTTGTCTAAATCCAATCTATACATGTATGGTCTAGTTCTGACTATAATCTAGTCTAGCTTGAAATTGAAAACAGATAACTATAAACATGACTTTTTGGGATATTTATAAACTTGTTCCATGTTCACACTCAATTTTTCCATCGCTTTTAATGCGGTCAAAAACTCAATATATTTGTACAGTGAATATCATTTAATAAAGCAGAATACCTTACTAAACAGTCTGTGCTTCTACTTTGTCATCAAACAGCAATCACTCCATGCAATACTCGACACAATTTTCACTATTATTCTGAAATAGTCTCTACGCTTTAATATAGGGCTGATAATGCGTACGTGTGGCAACCTTTTACCTCACCGTAAGCCTTTGCGGGTCATGATGATGATGTTCACACCCAATACCTCTTGCACATAAGATCTCTCGGAATGGGCCGGTCTTATTAACTGGATTAACTAAACTTGCTTAGATAGTAGGATTATTGTGACTGAAAGTGACTTATTCAGTGGAAGTGTCAAATTGTTTAAACATATTTTAAATTGATCTTTAAAAAATTAAATGCTCTCTAAACTGTAAAGTCTTAAAGATATGTTCTCTCGTCATCTTTACTTTAAAAAATCTAGTTATTTTTGGACCTTGAATTAGTCTTAAAGATAAATTCTCTCGTCATCAAACATATCTTTACTTAGGATGTTTTCTTTTGGACTGAAATTTGCTGGTCTGGTCTGGTCTGGTCTGTTTAAGTCTGGTCTGGTCTGGTCTGGTCTGGTCTGGTCTGGTCTGGTAAACGTCTGGTCTCTGTGTATTTTATAACTACAGAAGTCTGGTCTAGTCTGGTCTGGTCTGTTTAAGTCTGGTCTGGTCTGGTCTGGTCTGTTTAAGTCTGGTCTGGTCTGGTCTGGTCTGGTCTGTTTAAGTCTGGTCTGGTCTGGTCTGGGACTGAAAACAGTTCAAAAGAAAACATCCTTACATGCGTCAAATAGGCCTATGCACCGGCCGTATAGGAGTCTCTAAACTAAAAAATGCCCAATTCGCACCCCAAACCGGAAAAAAAGGTTCAAATTTCATTTTTTACAGGTAAACAACTGGTAATTAAAAAAGGTCCAATTCGCACCCATAAACTATTAAAAGGTGTCAAAATTGCAATAAATCGAAAATAAAAAAATAGTAACAATAAAAAATTAAAAAAATGACTGGTTGTTTACCCGTAAAAATGAAATTAGACCCTTTGACCTTATCTTTATCATCATTCTCATGCAACCATAAAAAAAGACTGAAGATCTTGTCAGTTCAAATTTTATAAGTAAAAGAACTACGCAATAGGAAACAATATCAAATTAATCATATGAAATTAAGAATATTTAGTTATAGAAAAAAAAAGAATTTAATCAGAAATTACTAAGACAAGCAAAGGAATATAATCGGTAATTGATAATTAAAAAACCGTACTTCTAAAGAAAACTCAACTGACACACATCAACTTCTCTCTTTTTATTACATCAACTAATGAATAATTATATGGTCAATTCTGCGGACTTCGGAATGGAGTGTCGTCCTTTTATAAAAAAAAACCAACAAGCTCAACTAGCAATACAAGAAAACCACTCCTGCCCACCCGGTTAGACTTGTTTATGGAACTAGCAATACAAAAAATAGCTTTTTGCTTTTAAGTGTTAATTTAAGTATAAGTTGTCACTTGGAAATCCCATGTTTTGTTTTTTTAAATCAAAAGGTGGGAAATGTTTTTTAGTGTTTGCAAACAAAGGGTAAGACTAGAACTGATTGTCGTTTGCGTTTTCTAAATTGAATTGGCTAAAACTGAATCTAGAATGGATCTATCCGATTAGTGTTCAGAATGTCTCATTTCCGTTAATCGGAGGTGGCCTGTCCCAAAACTGACTCGAGTCTATCCTAATACTCTCTCCGTTTCTAAAAGAACCTCACACTTTCCTTTTTTGGATGTGCCAAAATAAAAGTCACACTTCCCTTATTTCCTTATTTGGCAAAGAAATCTACATCCAAACAGTGTCAAACAGTGCCAAACAGTGCCAAACAGTGTCCAAACAGTGTCTAAACAGTGTTTTCTACAGTAAAGTCAATTTATTTCCTTAATAATCGTGAAGTCAAACTGTGTCTTTCTTTTAGAAACGGAGGGAGTATGATTTGAAGTTGTACTTTTAAAAACGTCAATTAAGCCCCCTTACTTAAAACTTGATCAATCAAACCCTCAAACTATTAAAAAAAGGGCAAATCCTCTTTTTTGACCTGTAATGAAAAAGTTGACCGGTTATTTTGTATAAACACATCATTTTTCAATTTTTCTATTTTTTTTTCATTTTTTCTTTATTCCTTTTCTTTTTAGTTTTCTCCTTCACCTTTCCTCGTTCCGTTCCAGCAACCCAAGTCCTCCCATCTAGGCCTGTCAATGGGTCGGGTCTAGACCCGGACCCGACCCGAACCCGGTTATTTTTAATGGGTATGGGTCTATGTTTTATTCCGTTTACCCAGACCCGAACCCGGACCCGTTAATATTTTTAATAAATGGGTCGGGTATGTTACATATGATTCCGACCCGTTAAGGACCCGGACCCGTTTATCATTTTTTTATTAATATATATTTCATATACTAATATAGTAATACATACCTAAAACTAGTATCCCATTAATACATATTAAAACAAACTGGGATATTCTATTTTAGTTTTGTTTATTTCACTATCAAAGACATTCAATACGTTTGGATGAAAGTATTGGTTTCTTACGTGAACATCAATTTTTTTTAAAAAAAATAAAGATGTGTTTTACTTATTACTCCGTATTAAGGATGATTGAGATCTAGATGTAGCTAGTTTGTGGAATTGCATTACATTCATGATTCATATACACATTCTGTTTTATATTTGGTGGGTCTAATCTTCCAAAAAAATGGCGGGTCTACCCGACCCAGACCCGAGACCCGTTGGGTCCGGGTCCGGGTCCAAAATTGCAGACCCGACGGGTAAACGGGTCCGGGTCCGGGTCCCTTATTTACTTAGCGGGTCCGGGTCTGGAACACTACATTCCGGCCCGGACCCGACCCATTGACAGGCCTACTCCCATCTTCTTCACTCCATCATTCCACTCCCTCTTCCTTCTCCCAAGTCCCACCTTACCACCGATTATTAACTCCCTTCCCATCATTTAAGAGGAGTCTTCTATTCTTCACCCCATCCACCGGCTTATAGCTCCGGGAGCCATTCAGAGAATCTCGCCGGAAAGTAGCGACCGGGCCAGGTCGTTATATCTCGTTCAGCAAGACAGCAACTCCAACCGAAGGCTCCTTCTTCCGACGGGTTCGGAGCTTCATTCCGGCTATAGACTCTAGTCGGCGGCTAAGAAGAGGAATAGGCGGAGGAAGTACGCCATCGAGGAGCCGAGGAGGGTGAAGTGACGCAAGGAAAAACGAGGAGAGAACTAGGAAGGAGAAGAGAAATAGGAAAGAAAGAAGAAAAGAAAGAAGAAATTTAATTGGCTGAGGGGCAGATCTAGAAGAAGAGAGGCGCAGGTACATGAAAGAAAAAAGGGGGGAAGCCACGTCACTCCCCACATACCCAATCTGACTGGGAACCGGGAGTATACCTCTTAAAAAGACAATTTGATACTTTTTTTAATAGTTTGAGGGTTTGATTGATCAAGTTTTTAGTAGGGGGGCTTAATTGATTTTTTTGAAAAGTTGGGGGGCTTATTTGATAGTTTTCCCTTTAAAAACATTATGTTCTAATAATGTTTTTTGACTTTTGTAGCTAGCTTAGGGTGATTTATGTTGAAAATGAAATATTTTTTATACAACAAATTGATAAAACATAATAAATCGCCAATTCACCACAAAAGATAACAATACTTCAGATTAAACTTTTACGGTGTAATCTCAGAATTTACTCATATATTCTTCTTGTACCATGAAAATTAAAGGGAAAGTTCCCGAAATAGGATTAAAACTGTTTGATAATTCCAAAATAGGACTGACATGTTTTTTATTCTGAAAATAGGAGTAATTACTGTCAAGTTTGGAAAATACTGCCATGTTTGAAGTCTGGTACTGCCAAAACATAACAGTAATTAATCCTATTTTGAGAATAAAATCATAACAGTCCTATTTTGGAATTTTCAAACATTTTAAGTCCTATTTCAGGTAATATCTCAAATGATGTATTCATCTTAATGTGACACAAAACTGAACCTTAATTAACAAATGGCAACTGTCTCCACTGTTATGTCAGATAATAACACCGCACCTAATATATATTAGCGTGTTAATCCGTCGTACTTAACACGTTTATTACACAGTATAGCAGCCACGTTTTTTGAGTGAGTTTCCACCGGACAAAATTAGCCTATCAATACTTTCTCGCGAATTGCAACGTTAATTACGTTGATACTATTCAATGCAAGTGTCGCGTGAGCCAGACAAATTTTTTAATGTTCAATTTTTTGGAGGTATATATATAAGGAAAAATTGAAAATAATAACATCAACTATTGTCGGTCCGTTAACAATAATCTTAACTATTGATTATTTTTGTATAATATCAACTATATGGACCGTCCGCCAATAATGGTCAATGACCAGATATTACCTCCTATATCAAGTGAATTTTAAATATAAATTAAGCTAAAAAATTGAAAGTTAGGATTATTTATAAGGATTACTTGCTATATCTTTTCTCATCCACTTTAGAAACTACATGAATTTATTTATAGGGACCATATTTGGCGGAAAGTCTCTAAAATTGGAATTATTCTGAAATAATCAATAGTTGAGATTATTATAAGCAGAACGTCAATAGTTGGGATTATTACTTTCTATTTTTCCTATATATAATTATGTAAAAAGTTTGGTTCACCTTAAAATATGTTATTTTGAGCTGCAAGGTTCCATTTTAAGGAGAGTCGCCTCATATCTTAATATTTTCGGTTATTAGTCCATATTTAATCGGTGTAAGGTATACTTCAAAACTCATCTGACGATCGCGCACTTTATCTTGATCGTTGTCATTTACTAGTTTACTACCTCCGTTCTTTTTTATTAGTCCTTCTTTCCTTTTTGGGACGTTTTTTTATCTGTCCTCTTTTCCATTTAAGGAAAGTTTTTACTCTAAATATATCTTTATACCCCAACTTTTATTACCATTACCCCTTTCTCTTTCCTACTTTTTCATTTACCCACTACTCATTACACCTTTTACAATATCCCTACTATTTTCCTCTTAAAACCCGTGCCAAAGCCTAGGAGGACTAATATTAAAGAACGGAGGGAGTAATAATCATCATTCTTTTTCAAAAGTTCTTTTTTAAGGCAATGGGGTGAATTTAACACAACCATTGATGAAATAAAATAAAATTCGATATAAAATTAGAGCTAGTAAAAGCTAAGATGTCGGATAAAATGCATAAATGGTACCTTAATTATTGGTATTAAATCTATACCATAACTATATTTAAATATTTCAACTTGAGATTTTATTCAAATTAGCGGCCAAAAAATTCTTCATGGCGATCAAAATTCCACGTGTAGAGTCACCCTATTGTGATCATACGGATAAAAGTAAGGTGAAGTAGACTTTATGCATAGAATTCTGGCCGCCACATGTAATTTTTTTTTTTTACCGCAAATTTCTATAAAAATCTCAATTTGAAACATTTACGTATAGTTAAGGTACTGTTTTGATTCATTTAAGAGCGCGAGTTAAGGTATCAAACCGCAACAATACTAATAGTTAATGTACCATTTATGCATTTGACCCCACGATGACATTCGCTTTTAGAGTCCTGATGGGGTACCCCAATTTGTACCCCAATCTGTACACCGTCTGTGTACACAGACATTTGGACAGAAAGTTCTGCCCTCTTTCAAACGAATTGCCTGTGTACACAGGCAATGCAGCGGGGTGGGTACAAAATGGGGTACATTTTGGGGGTACCTATAGAATTTTTGTCGCTTTTAATATACGGAGTAATAATTTGCATGTTGCCTGCCAACAGAATATTTGTAGCCGCCTATATTTCTAAATATTACTGTTAAAAACGAGTACCTGTGGTATGACAATGGCAAGATTCAGGACTCCAAGTGAAAGACCTGTGGCCAAGGTTAAACACCCTTATTAGGAAACGATCCCAGAGTTACGTTGAATTTAATGATCTCTTTTCAAGAAAAATATATTTGTATTTATCAAATAATGCATTAATGTAACATTTATATCATATTTCATTCCAGAACCACTACAAAAAACATGGAATGACAAAGAATTTTTTACAGTAATTCGCCAAAATTCATAGTAGAATTGGTATGAATATTCCAAATCTGTGTGTCGAAAACATTTTACTATTAACTATTTAGCATGAAATCATTGATCAATCTTTATACTGTATTTTTTTTTTGTAATGAGCAGAACATGAAGAATCACGTTTTAAGTTTTTAACACTTATACCGTTATACGTTACGAAATCTTTGAGCTTATATAGTGACCAATTGCGAGTAGACATTGCAGTTAACATTTAAATCGACTCTAACGATCATATATCTCTGTTTTGTTAGTCATCACCAAATTAATTTACTGAGTTTAATTACGCACTGTACCTTGTCCAGCGCCTGCATTACTTGAGAAAATAGATGCCAAAGCAAATGGAATACTGAAAGTGACCTGCCAAATTAATAAATGGGAAGTTAATATGTGACTGGCTCACTGCTTATATCGATCAGCCTTCTCTGCCATTTTCCCGAAAATTAACGACGAAGGCATCATCAATAAACTGCCTCCATCACATGTAGTTTTGGATAAGTCGATTTGAATGGTCAGCGTTGACTAATGTTGCTGCAAAATACCGAGTATATAGTTCTCCTTCCTACTTACCTGTTTTCATTTATCTCATTTCAAAATGAATGGTATAATTTTTTTTAGAAAGAAATATGTGGTTTGCAATGACATTATTTCATGTTATCATATTCAAATTTCAGTCACAACATTTTACTTTTTCAACCACATTTTTAGTAATTGTATCAAATCAAAGTAGGCCAGGAGACATAAAATGGGATTAGAACATTTCAAACATGGTATCAATCCCACCGTATATTGTTTTTTGTTGGTAACAGAAAAATTAATTAGAACAGGAAATTTAAATGAGTTTTTGTAGTGGAATAGTGTATCTAGCTAGTTTACATCCTTGATAAAATTAATTAAATTTAGATTTGAATGTAGGACGTACTAATGCATAGAATATATACCCTATTTAATATCTGTATATGTGTGTTTCGGTGTGATAGAGGAGATGCTTCTCTTGTGATCCTAAATGATACTCCGTCTGATATACTATCGTACTACGTATGGCAACGATATTTAAGAAATTATAAAAAGAGGAATTATTTTATGATAGAAAAGAAAATAGGCCAGATTTCGTAGAAGAGATATTGTAAACAGTATGTAGGAGTATATATTTTCTTAAGTTTTTTATTAGTTTTTATAATTTTATTATTAATTAAAATATTTCAAAAGCTACAAGGGTATATTTGTCCCAACACACATAAATAGTCCTACCGGAGGAATTTAAAAGATACAATCTTATTTGTGCTTTTTGTCTACTTTTTGTCCTATAATTCACTCTTAATACTTTGGCCAATAATGAAATTTTATGTTGTGTGCTCTAATTCCCACTTTCATTTAGGCCTGCGACCGATTCGGTTCTTATATGAAATTAGTGGAACCGTTACAAAAAACTTAACTAAGAAATTGGTTCGATTCCTATCTAAAATTTCAAGAACCGTTATGGAACCGAACCAATAGTAAACGGTTCGATTCTTACTTTTATCGGTTCTTAAACATAATTTTTTTTGCATAAACAATTTACTTTCCACAACCCAAAAACGTCGAAAATTCAAAACACATGCAATAGGTATTTTTTAAAGCTCTTATCACTTCAAACATCAAGTCCAAACTTAATTTATTCAACACTAAATAGAATGAAATAATCTATGAGTTTTTTTGTAAATAAAATATGAAAATCGTTGTTGTTTGATATCAATAAAAGTTGGGTCATCATAGTAGAATAAGATGTCTAGTTCAAGTCCCTCAAAACGTTAAAAAAAACATGTTGAATACGCAAGTATAAATATAATCATTAGATTCCATATCCTATGAGCATTGTTTACACTAAATCTCACAATTACAATCATCTTGAATATTATAAAGAAAAAATATATCAAACTAACATGAAATAATTTGGTTTACTTTTATAATTATGAAATTTCCGTTATAGAACAAAATATGATTTGTACAAAACGAGGCTAATCTATTCATCCTCATCCGCTTCCATCAATTAATTAAATTTAAATTGTTGAGTGATTAAATTGCATCAATTATATTATTATTACTATTTTGTTAATATAATTATTGTTATGTTTAATATTAATATTATAATTATTGTTATTATTATTACTATTACTATTATTATTATTGATACTCTCAATTTTTTATTTTTTTAGTAACCCTTCCTTAACGGTTTCGTAGACATCAGGAATTGAACCGCTAATAAAGAATAAGAACTAAACTGTTAACAATTTGTAACTCATGTATAGAAATTGAACCGGATTTTAACGATTCGATTCCAACGGTTTTCCCAATTCTTGGTTCAAAAGTCCCACCCTTAGAGCATCTCCAATGGTAAAATGTGCACGGTACACACGTGGCATGAGAAATAGTCACATAAATATTAGTAAATAAATTCTTTTTCTCTTTATTTGAATGATTTTATATAGTTTTGGTAAGTTTTTCTCCACAATGTCAAGGAGACCGTCTAGATGTTGACATTGTTGTTGACATTGCAGGGAAAAATTTACCAAAATTGTATAAAATCATTCAAATAAGGAGAGAGGTAATTTATTTGTTAATATTTATGTGGCTATCATTCATGCCACATGTGCACCATGCATATTATAGCATTGGAGATGCTCTTACTTTCCTTTGAGCGTTGGACATGTATGGTTGTTTATTAATTTCATGAGAAGCGATAATCAGAAATTTACGATGTTGCAGTTTTCCATTTTCGGTTACTTTTTTTATTTATACTACCTCCGTCCCAAATTGATTTGCAAATTGACTTTTTTTTGTCAAACAATTTCATTTTGTTTGCTTAATTAGGATGTCAATTTTTAATTATAATCTAATTTGGAGTTTATAACTTTGAAGAGATTTTAATGTAGTTTATGAATTTATAAACTTTAATTATTAAAAATTAAATTAATTATCAATACAGAGCATTGACTTTTATTATTGGTTGACCTAAAAATATTGACTTTAGGGAAGGAGTAAATTTTGCTTTTGTACGCAGGTGTTCTTGTACGAAATGATTTGCGGATAGCTGCTTTTACGATACAACGACGGCGTATATGATAAGATGTTATCGGGGCCACCATGACACTAACTAACTAATTAAGGTTTCAATTTCCCACGTGTCATTCATTAATCCCCAAATGACAACAGTAAGCGCTGCCTTCTGAAATAATTCATCTTAATATATGATTTTATTATTTATTAATTTACTGGTGTCTTCTAATCCATTGTGCCGAAGATATAACACCTCCGTCCCATTTTAGATCTGGGTTTGACACAAGTATTAATAATGAAATAGTGTGAATTATATTAAAATGTTCTCGTATATGCGTTCTTTAGAAGAGGCTGTGTTTTAATTGACAGTACTTGTTCATTTTAAGATAAAGCATAAATCAAGCACTTTTTTCCCTTATAAAATGATGGTTGACCATCTAAGTTGTACCACCCTTCTCCCGCAACTTTTTTTACTCCGGGGCTGGGAGGGGGCTGGGGGCCTTAAGTAATTTGAGCTGAAACTCACTTCATCGAGTTTCGAATCCGAGATCTCTCGTAAGGGAGAGAGTCGGCGACCAGCTGCGCTGAACCGCTTCCTCTCTCTTCTCCCACAAGTGTCAAAGACCACCCTACCTTTAAAGTGATAAAGATTTTTAGCATAAGTGAACAAACACACATAAACGTATATAGTTTATAAATAAGTACGTTTGTCGATGTGTGTGATGTTTTTGTATTATCTAAGTTCATTCCTTCTTTGGACTGTCATCTTCAATTCACAAACTTACTAATCAACTAACTAATACTTTGTATTTACTAAAATTGAAGTACTTCGGAAAAGATCGGAGTGAAAATGGGTGAGCATGGGAGTTAAATAATCCAAAATAGGCAAATTCAAATAATGGGTGTAAAAAAATGCAAAAACTTAACCATAACTATATGGGACTCCCTTACTGTACGAGGTAAGAGTCAGATTGGTACTCGAAGTTGCATAAAAATGGTCCAATAAGTCCTTATTGTCCGGCCGTCGCCATTTGAGGCGGTTCCCAGTGGAATTTTTTGATGAATTTTTTTGAGCATCTTATTCATTAAATCTAGTTTACTCATACCAAATTTCAGCTAAAACTTCAATCGGGAAGGCATTCAAATGAATTATTGAAGATAACTGCGCTTTTAACTGCACAGTTATCTTCAAGAATTCATTTGAATGACTGCCCGATTGAATTTTTAGCTGAAATTTGGTATGAGTAAACTAGACTTAATGAATAAGATGCTCAAAAAAATCGTCAGAAAATTCCACTGGGAACCGCCCCAAATGGCGATGGCCGGACAGAGCCTCCTATATAAGGACTTATTCAACCCTTTTTATGCAACTTCGAGTACGAATCTGATTCTTACCTCCTTACTGTACTAAGCTTTGAATAAACAGACTACGACATGCAAGATCAATGTGATAAGATCACAAAGAAATTGTTCTATGTTTATTAATTATGGAGTACGGAGTATTAGACATTTTGCCAATATAAAGTCTCACAAACACTAATAGTATATTCTCAGTGTGGAGGACCTAGGGGGTCGTAGGGGGCAAGTGCCTCCGCTTCTTGATATAAAACTATGACTATTAAATATGTAATGATTCTGCCAAAGAGCATATGTAAATTGTTGTAAGATATTTAAATGACTACAGAGTTATGATGAGGCGATTTCATACAATTAAACAAGTTCTTAACACGGTCATTCTTTGAAAAGTAGTATTGGTGGTTATATTTTGTGAAGTACGAATTATCTTTTTCTAAAATTAGAAGTCAATGATATGACGAGACTTCTAATATGTGTGGTGAGTTTAATGGATTTAAGATTAAATTAAATGAAATTCCATACTCAAGAAATATTAATTGTTTTCTTACCAATTACAATTAGTTATTGTACAATACCCAAATCACGCAAATATGGGTGATGAGCAGAGTCCTACTTTTCCCAGGATGGGCTATCCTTTAAAAGGGAAAGGCAGGAAAAAGAAGAACAAATGTTTTGGTTTCAAGATTGACCTTCAGACATGGAATCAAGTGCAACGATATGTGTTATTCAACTGCGAGAGTGAAGAGATTGAGAAATACATTAAGTAAGAACCGTTGCTATTTTTTATTATTAATTATTATACATTTTTTCATATTTTTTTTACTAACCCCAAGAGTGTTGTTACAATACAGTGAACACAAGACGTCTCTTGCTAGTCGAAATAAAAGAAAATGGGACACCCTCCAGAACCATAGCAAAGATTTCATTGACTGGTTTCGAGAGAAAGTTGACTATGAGATTCAAGAAGGTCTTGAAGTACTTGATCATATCAAAATCTTGTCTACAGGGCCTTCTCACATAGCTAGAAAGTATACGGGATATGCTATCAATGGCTTCAGATTCCACACTGCGGACCGTGATGCGAATTGTGTGACGGACAATAGTGGAGTCACACTGACTGCACAAACTCCTAGCTTTGCGAGTAGCAGAGACAAAAATCCTATTGTTGGAGACGTTAAGTATTATGGCTCAGTTCAAGAAATCATTGAGATAAGTTATAGTGATAAATTCAGTTTTGTGTTATTCAGATGCACGTGGTTTCATTCTGAGAGAGATGATTATGGACTTACTCGGGTTAATCGTTCCAAGTTCATTTCTAAAAATGAACCATTCATTTTAGCATCTCAAGCACATCAGGCATTCTATGTTGAAGACCCCACTAAGAAGGGCTGGTACTATGCAGTGGAAAACCTTCCTAAAGATGACTTTCAATTGTACTAGTAATACATTTTTCTTTCTATTTGTAGGTAAAGTTCAGATTTTCATATTAAAGTTTGTAGGAATACTATTTTTACTAGTATTACAGTTTGTAGGAATGCCAATAATCTGTATTTATATTTGTATGTGAATTTTTCAATCATTCATAACTTAGTAATACATATTTTTAAATGTGATGTTTAATCTAGATCTTATTTGATTCACTTCTGCAGATGGGGAAAAAAAGAGGTTCCTCTCAATGTAGCGGACGTGAAGAGCTGACAGACTATGAAAAGGAAAGGTTAAAGAGGTTGGAAATGAATGAACAAAAAATGCATGCATTAGGGTTAACAAGTCTAGCAAATAAGGCGATCTTCCAAACGAAAGATAAACTGAGCACAGACCAGTTTACCAATGATATTGACCTAGAAGACGCAGATTACACACCGAGTGGTGATGAGAATGATGAATCAAATCATCCAAAGGTGTGTTAATTTAAACATTTCATTACATTGGTACGTATAAAACACACACAGAAGCTACCTGAAAGTAAGTTTTTAGTATTAGTAGTTAGTTAATTGTAGTATATAGACCTTCATTGCTAGTTTGTTTTTATATTTGTAGTGTTAGTTTATTTGACAGATCACATATAGTGCTTGTTGAAAACTTCTACTCTTGATAGAATATAGACCTCCTACAGTTGCAAAAGATATGATAATCCGTCTAGAAGGAAAAAAACAGAACCTAAACCAAGGGAAGAAAATAATGGAAATAATAATTAATTACTAGATCCTAAAACAGTAAAACACAGCCTTGATTGGAGAGAGGAGAGAATGACTTTTCTAGCCTTATACTAGTATTCATATTAATATTAACATCTTAGAAGTAACCCAGACTATAAGTTCAAATTTACTAGTTATACGGATTTTTCTATTAAATGAAATTGTGAAATACTAAGTACTTCATTACTTCATATATGTTATGGGTCTGGACATATATTTCAGATTTTCAGGTTTGGCACCTAGTATAACTGAGACTGGATTTGTATTAAATTACTAACCATACCTATTCATTCCAGTCCAGTTCAGCTCCAGAATAATATGAACCCTCCTCTTTATTCCAGTCCAGTTCATGAAAGCTATTCATTCTTCAGTAAAGCCTGTAGTGTTGATTCAATATGTGTTTCTTACAGGTATCAATGAAGGGAAAAGGTCAACGTACGAAGGTAGAGGCTGCTAGAAGTTCTGGGACATCAACTGATCAAACTTTGGTTAAGGTTAGTTCTAAAAAGGAAGCTGCAAGGGTTCTCAAGGATCAAGGCACACGTGGCAGGAAGAAGCCTATTTCTGATCCAAAGGCACAAAAAATCGCTCCAGGATCCATGGCCTTGTACTTTGAAATGAGGAAAAGGCAAGAGTTGTTGAAGAAGAAAAAGAATGAAGCACCTTTTCTAGAAGCTGAAGATTCTTCCAGTGAGAATGAGCTTGAAAATGCTGATCATAACAACTCCATGAGCGGTGAAGAGGAAGCAAGCAAATCATCACCAGTTAGGGAAGTTGATAGTCTTGAAGAACATGACGATGATGTAGACTCTTTTGACACTTCAGCGGATATGGAACATGAGGTGGCTGCTGAAAAAGATATTGCTGCAAGTGCTAAGGCTTGATCAAAAGGTAACTAAGTCTAATTTGTCATTTTATTTCACGTAGGTGTGGATTTTACGTATATTAATTATCATTTAAATGTTATTAGTTGCTGGAGAAAAGAAGCATAGAGGCCCGACTGTTATGGCAGCAGTGCATAATCGTAAGTTTGATGAACGACCAATAGTTGTTCTGAATGAAGCAGGGCAACCAATTGGCCCTACTCCCGCTCTTGTTCGTGAATTCAGTCGGTTCCTAGGCACCATGGCTAGAGATTCAAAACTTGCACCTTTGAATTATGTCACTTGGCATAAGGTTCCGAAAAATAAATTAGACAAGATGTGGAATTATGTCATGGTAATTAAGTTCATAACACTCTTTTATAGTTTATTGATCTTTATTTTAGATGATTTAGATGAAATGTGCAAAGTTGAGTGTAATTGTTATGTATGTAATACTCATGCAGGAGAAGTATGTGGTTCCCATAGAAGGAAAAAGGTGGGTTTTTGCTACCCTTAACGATCTGTGGCGTGTTCACAAATCAAGATTGAAGAAAAACCACTTTTATAAATACAAGACAGTACAACAAAGATGGGAGAATCGACCAAAGAGTGTTCCTAATCAACAGTTCCTAGATCTTTTGAATTACTGGTCTCTTGGAAATGTTGAGGTATGTGTAGTATTCATACTAGGAAGGTAGGGATAAATGAGTTTAAAATAGAGTCTGGAATGGAATAATTGCTTCATTAAATTTTTTTTGAAACACTTGGAATTAAGGGGTGTAATTTAATATTATATGTCTGATATGAAGTTGTTTTATGAAAATTGTAGGATGAAAGCAATACCAATAGAGAAAATCGCATGAAGCGTGATGACCCACACACTCTGGGCCCGATATCGTTCGCACTATTGCGTCATACAATGGTAATGGTGTTCTAGTTTGATCATGTTATTTAAAATCAGATTATTCATGCTTATAATTAATTATACACATCATTTATATTTTCCACCTTAAACATATGTGTTAACAGACAAATGAGGATCCCAATAAAGAAGAGCCATCTGATTCCACGATGTATAAGGAGTCTAGGATGAGGTTTGTGGATGGTCAGTGTATGACAAAGCCTTACCCCGGCGCTGAGCAGAATGGGCGTGTTCGTCTTCGTGGTCGAGGCGTGACCAAGTCTAAAATGAAGAAAAGTAACAACAAGCAGTCTAGCTACATAATGCCAGAGGAGTTCTTGCAAAGTGTCAAAGCACAGTTGGCTCCGGAAGTAGCATCCATGGTACTCTCACAAATAAAGGCAGCTAATCCTGGGATAAGTCTGAACATTCCAGAGTTCTGTGTGTCCTCAAAAAATCAATCATCAGGGCATGAGGTAGATGGGTCAAATGGGCAATCTTCAGCTGGAGCGCACTCGATATCGAAGGTAACTTATATAGCTTCTCTGATATCATTTGAGTGTTCAAGAAATGGTTTTGAGCTTAGTTGAGTTGTTGAAACTGTTATGGAAATAAACATTATAATATTAATGGCTGAAATCATTTGTGTGAAATGGGTAGCGTTCTAACTGTTGAAACAACATGTTTAAATCTTGAATAAGAATCTGAAACTGAGAGTGCCTTTCTATTCCCGTCTGCGGATATATCATGATCTAGCTGGTATCTCACTCACATGTACAATGACCTATAACATCTTTTTTAGAGAAGTTGTGAAACACCCCTTCTCATTGCTCATCAATAAGAACTTTGAGTTTGTTTAGTTTCTGAGAGTTCCCAGGTGTCTGTTTAAGGAGAAGTGATTAGATGTTTAGATGTGTAGATGTTCTTTTTCATATTGGTCCAAATTTAGATGTTTGTTTAGTTTCGGAGAGTTCACAGGTGCATGTTTTAGATGTTTAGATGTTCTTTCCCAGGTGCCTATTTATGAACATATCATGCCACAAAATATTGGTCCAGATTTTCATATACAGGAGAATGTTGAGAATGTTTAGATCAGTTGTTCTTTTTAACCTTCTTGCATGGACTCTTCAAGGACAAATGTCTATCAAAATCTTCAAGCAAAGATCTTGGTTTAGGCAAGTCTGATGAAGTCTTTAGGAAAACAGGCTTATATATTAGTGTCTGTGATTTGAATGATCTCATTGTGTCATACACAACTTCTATGACATTTAGATGTCAATTGTTTTGCTCACATTTATTTATACAGGGTAACATGTATTTGTACTTGATTGTCATTTCTGGTGTATATTTTCAAGTCCTTTGCAACTAAAACCCACTGTTTGATGCTTTTTGTTCTGCTGAAATGAAAAGGACATACCATTTGTTCTGAATTTTACATTCCAAAAAAATTTATGAATGTGTGTTCCTAACAATGGCTCGAGATGTATAACTTCAATGACTGCCAGTAATTAGACACCAGAAGCTGCACATTTAAGCAAAGATTTGATATTTGTAAAAAGTAATGAGATGAGATTGGAAGATTAAGTTCCAATAAGAATTTGAATATTAAGATAACTGAAGAAAGTTACACTTAATGAACTGATTATAAGTATATGGGTGCTTAATTATTTAAAATGTTTGTTTTACAGATGAGGGATTCACATGAAGATGAAGATGAAGATGGAATGGAATTAAATGATGAATGATGCATACTCATGATTGTCACTTTATAGAGCCTCTCCTAGTAGTAGTGATAAACTATCTTTTGCTTTGTGAACATGATGTTCACCATTTTGCTACTTATCAAACTCATGTTTTTGTCAAAGAGCTTTTAACATAGCTACTTTGGTTACGTTGGATTTGTTTTGAACTTGATGCTTCTTTAACTTTTGAATGCTTTTGTACAACTTAAGTTGCTTGGTTTAATGTAATGAATTTGATGTTGGGGTCAACATTTGTTTCACTTTTGTGTGTAATTATAATTAAATTGACAATAGGTGTGTAAATAAATATCTGGGCTGCAGGTGTGCAAATAAATAAACCGTTACATTACATAATTAACCAGGGTCATTGTATTTTAAAAACTGTTACCCTTGTGCATGTTACAAACCGTTGCATTACACAATTAACCAGGGTCATCGTATTTTAAAAACCGTTACCCTTGTGCATGTTACAAACCGTTACATATGTACACAATCTGTTGTAACGTTTATGGCATTGTCGTGAGGACCGTTACAGCTGCTCATAAACTTCGTTACAAGCCATTACATTAGAGCAAATGCAACGCGAGCGAATGTAACGACCAAAAACTATTACAATAAGTTGTATGTAACAGTTTTTTGGACCAAAGGTTACGAAATCTGCTGTTACAAAAGACCCGAAAATGTAGTAGTGTGTGGCTATTGCACAAAAAAAGTTTGTGGATACTTTCTTTGCATATTTCTCCATGTTTAGTTATGATACTAAAATGTTGGGATCCTCTTGTAAAATAAGGGGTGTAGACCGACAAAAACAACATGATACCATAAGAGAGTTATTTGAAAAGGGTGTATAGTAACAAACGGGAGGTGACTGAGTCAAGAAATTAAAGTAGTTTGGCTTGGCCGGGAATTGCATGTTAGGGTTCACAACTTGAAAACTGAAATTGAAAACCTTGTTTTTGTTTTAAAAAATTGTCTACACATTGGATAGATTAATCTCACACCCGACCCGACCCGTCTCCATCCGTATAGTAGTGCACCCGCTTCAGAAAAGTTCTAGGTCCGCCACTGTATATACTCCCTCCGTCCCAATAAGATTGGGACAATTCGGTTTACGATGTTTGACCGACGATAAAGCAAACAAATCCCTATCTGCTCTCAAATTATTTTTAGAAAAACAATTTACATATTCAGAAAGTACATGAAAAGCTTAACAAAGGCGCAAAAACCTGAATCAAATTTGATAAAGTAAAAGAATAAGAGTGATTTGTGTTGATCAAATGAATAGTGTCTAAGACAATCTTAACGAGAGAGAGGGAGTACTTCTTTTCCAAAAAAGGTTTGAAATATTATTTGACCCCGGTGACTCTATAAGGTAAACCTAAAGATAATCATACTCACCTGAAGTTGCTAATATGGTTCACATTGTATGAGTGATCACATTTTTTGTTCATCGTCTACTTTATTTAATTTTAATCATTTTTGTGTCCTTGTTTCTAAATTTTATTAACAACTTTACAAAAGTGATGGTTGTACACTTTGTTAATGTTTTAGTCTCAATGAAAATAAAGAAGAAAACTTACGGCTTGAGGAATTCCGAGAACTGAAAAGATGATGAAAGCTCCAGCTTTAATGCCACCGGTAGGCCCAAGGGGTCGGCCGTGAACGTCGTGCCTCTCCGACTTCTTCGCCAGTTTCGTTACCAAAACGGTCATCCCCAAGCATATAGCCAAAATGAAGTTCCCGCCGGCCCACAGCTTGTTGACCCGGCCGACTCGGCGAGCCAGAAGCTCCAACCCGAGCGACATGAAGCCGAGAACGATGGAGTTGAGCAAGAGGCCGAGGGAGCCGGCGTGCACTCCGCGATCGTACAGGCCGCCGTCACCGACCTTTCCGCCGTAAACCTCCTTCGCCATCCAATCAGTGTCGTACAACAAGAACGGGAACCATGCGAGCCAGTTGAGGCACGTGACCAGGAGGAGGATCCACATTGGCCTCGGGAGGCCCTTAAACGCCCCGAGGAGCTCGCCGAAGAATGGCCTCGCCTTCGCCTCTTTCTCCACCCTCCCTGTGCCGTCGTTGTCGTCGCCGTCACCCTCTTTCTCCGGCAGCTCCTTCTCCGTGACGGTTGCTAAGGACACCGTTGTTATCGAAAGTAAGAGAGTCACGGAGATAAAGAAGCAGCTCTTGAGGTTTGCACAGTAGACGTCGCAAGCTTCGGTCTTAGTGAACGGAAATATCTTGTAGAGCCGGGAGTATGAGCCGGCGGCGTAGCCCAGAACATTTCCGACCGCCATGAAGAAGGAAAACAAGGCGTTCGCCGTCCTCATTCTCCTCGCCCTCCCGCCGGAGAGATCAGCCAACAACGCTCTACACGGTCCCTGAAAATTGTGCACTCATTTTTAAAACATGACATAGGACTGAAATTTGGATTTAGACTGGTCTGGCCGTCTGGGACTGAAAACAGTCCAAAGAAAACATCCTAAAACATAAATAAAGTACATATATCGGACTATCATTATTTTCTTCATAAAATAGGACTTATTCACTCTTAATAGGGAATGTTTATACTTTTAATAGGATCAGATCAAATAAGTCTTATTTCGGAAATAAAATACATATACGTACAGTCCTATTTGTGCATTTTGTGTTAAGCTTTAGTCCTATTTAGGATGTTTTTACTTGGACTGTAATTTGTCTCAGACCAGACCATACTAGATCAGACCAGATCAGACTTGGATAGTTATAAAATACAAAAAAACCAGACCAGACCAGTTCAGACAAGACTAGACCAGATCAGACCAAACCAGCAATTTACGGTCCAAGTAAAAACATGCGAACATTTTCTATACAAATGTACTCCTCATTCGGTGCTCACTTGTTGTTAATTTAAATTTTATCGATTTAATTACTCCGTATAATTTAGAAGTGACTAAAGAGTAGCTGGATAGAGTAAATTTCTTATTCAGAACCCGCTCGATTGAAAATTTCAGTTCTTGTGAATAAGTTCATTCAATTTATGGGGAAAACAACGCTTTGTATTCTGTTTTTATCTAATAAAAGCAAAAAACTTACTCCGTATTTTGACATGTATATTTATGAAATCATTATTTACCAAAAAGGTTCATTCTAAATCTAAGTGGTTATGATACTCTGTAACGTTTTTGGAATATTTTCTGAAATGACATTTATTCCGATCCACCTCAATTAACTAAGTATTAAGATTTCAATGCACGGCGTATATATAGAAAAACATGTTTAAATCAAATTTAAAAAAAGCCACTTTCATGCATTGAATGAACTATGTACACAAGAACTGAAATTTTCAATCGAGCTAGAAAAACGGCTTAGCGGCTACAAAATGAAAATGATAGATCGTTTTTAATTTAGACAATATCTGAATTGAATGTTTCATTTGTGGTTTAGATAAATAGGGACTCGTAACAATAAGATAGATTGTTTTTGCTCTGTTTCTGAATCATGTCTGATGAGTAATGTTAATTATATGTTATTTTTAAAATTTGGGAAAATAATCAATATTACTCATCATATTTTGCTTATTTTACGTTTAGATAGTGTTGATTTTACAGAAGTCATAACTTTATAGTCGTAATGAGTTAGAGGCGCCACAATATATCAAAACAAAGATATTTCAAAGCTCTATACTCTCAAACTTTCAGTGGGATCAGCTGACCACCCTGACCCCTGGCTCCACCGCCTCCACCCCAGCGTTCATGTACACCAAGAAGGCAAGAAGGCAAGAAATAATCATGAAAAAGTAGGAATGAGTTTATAAGGTATTCCACAATGTTTGATCGTGCATTTTTATTCCCATCAAGTTTATGAGTGAACAATACTCCGTATTATACGTATATAATAATAAGTAGTACATAGTATATACAAAGACACAACTTTATCAATTCAAATTTGAACAAATGGATCATATATATATATGGATGAGCTAATTACAAATTTTGAACCGCAAAGATCAACGTATCGGTCGGTGAGAAACTGATGTCATGGGAAGCTAAATACTTTGATTAACACCTTTAGTATCGTCATGATGGAAAATGGCGTGTCATATACTAAAATTAGTAATGTCGCAAGAAAATACTAAAATTAGTATATAAATAAATAAGTAAATATATACAAACGCATGTATATAAATTTCATGAGATAACAAAGTTTTTGGAAACGTATGTAGTACTACATATTTGTAATTAAAATACAATGTTGGACAAAAATGTGATCTCTTAATATAAGCATTTTAGTTATAGTTGTAACTTTTAGTAATTGATTTTATGTTCAATTTTTACTCTTTAATTACCATGACAAATAACCACAAATAAATATTGCACAAAAACCACAGATAGTGACTAAAACACTTAATTTACACATGTAGATTATACGACTCGTACCAGGGACGGAGGTATGTATAATAGCAAGGGGGCCATTGCCCCCCCCCCCCAACTTTAATGTTTTTAGTTAGTGGTATTGTTATGCTGCCCCCCTACCTCAAATCTTTTACTAGTATTTGCTAGGAGTCTAGGACTATTATATTAGAATAGAGGTAAAGTATTACTTAGTCCTAAAGCCCCACTTTAATATGGAAGCAAATTTAAAGCCCAAATATCAAGTATGTTAATTAAAAAAAATCCCTGGTGGACCGTGGACACTAGATGCATCCACAAAACCTATTAGAATAGAGGTAAAGAATTACACTTTTTTCCTTTTACTAATTATTTAAAATTGAAAATAGTTTCCCAAGTATATTACTAATTCATTATTGACTAGCAAGTTTGGTCCAGTATACTTAGTTAAGTTGTTTACCTTTTTTTAGACATTTGCTAGTATTTATTATCTCATGCCACAAAATCGTCAAAATGTCTATCATAGATTTTTTTATCGGTGATTTCATGACATGCAAGAGAGATGTAACGTTCTAAATTTTATCTCACATGGCGTTTAATCATGTACTTTTGAATACTTTAGATGAATACCAATACGTCATTTAATGTAATATGTATATTTTATTTATATTTTAAATCCTACTCCGTATTCTTTTTTTATTTCACCCCGCCCCCCCTTCGGTCATATCCTGGGTCCGCCCCTGACTCGTACTACGTATTTGTTTCAATACATATTAGTTAATAATATTTCATAAAAAACCCACAAAAAAAATATTTTTCAAAACCATAATTGACAATAAATTCAATTTGTGAACAATAACGTACACAAATTAGTAGGGGTGGTTCGGTGCGGTATACCGAAGATTTTATCTCATACCTTTACCATACCGTAAACTTTCGGTATGCAAAAATACATACCGTTACCATACCTAAATTTCGGTATACCTTGTTTCGGTATACCAAAATTTCGGTATGGTAAGCTACGATATCGGTAAATTATCACGATTTAATATAAAATTATTATATATCAAATGAAATATAGAAAATCAGTGTTAATAGTGATATACTAAAATTATTAATGAAATTAATTATAAAATACCAATGATAACCTATTTGTGTTCTATTCAACTTTGAACAAAAAAATATTATAAATATGTACGGATACTTCAACCCATGATATATGAAGATAACAACACATTCTGCTAAAATAATAATTTAAACAACATAAATACATTTGAAATAACATCGATCTCCAACAAAAAGTATAAATAATTCAAGAAACATGGATATAAAGTCATTATCCTTGAATTAATGTTGTGTTTTCTAGTTATTTTTATAATTTTAAAGAAATTATTGGCTTGGAATTACGGTATGACGGTATAACGGTATACCATTTATTTCCAAAATATATACCGATACCATACCGAAGTAATTCGGTACGGTATCATACCGTACCAAAAGTGTCGGTATACCAAACACTTCGGTAAATTCGGTATTTTTCGATATGGTAAGTCCGGTATACCGAAATTTCGGTATTTTTCCCCACCCCTACAAATTAGTATGGTTGGTATATGTGGTGGCGAGACATCGTGCTGAACACGATTGTCGATGAGGATATCATAATAGTACGCGGTACGGCGGTAATACTATCACATTACTCTAATTTTGATTTGATCCATTTCTGAACTAAATAAATAAATGAGAAATGACTGAATACGGAGGAGAAAAAATGGCAAAATTTCTAAATAAAAATCCGTGTTTTTTTTTCTCAAAATACGAAGAAATTTTTACAAAATTATTGTATAGGTTTTGCAAAAAACAATTTTTTATAGGAGTAATTTCACCATATCTACGTACTCGTATTTTAAGAATAAAAAGTAATAATGTTTTATGGAGCTAGATTTATTTTCGAAATTAATTTTGAAGAAAGTTATTAAATACAACTAAAATATATACAAAATGCATGAATAGAACTGTCATTGTCTAATTTCTTCAAAAAAATTGAACTTATTTAATGTTATTGAAAGTATAGATTTTTCACAATTAAGAATGAATTAATAATATTTTAGAAATAGAAAAAAAAAATGATGATTGAATTTCGGCTCTTTGTGACGGAATTTCAGAGTCATTGGGTTGTTACCTGCAGCATGTTATTTGCTACGTCGAGAATCCAAAAACCGGCAACAAAGACACCAATGGCACGGGGCTTAGCGCCTTTGCCGAGAGGGTCACCAGACGCATGGCCGATGTCAGCCGCGAAGCCGATGAGGAGCACGGCAGCAGTGACGAGAGCGGCGCCGGCGGCGATGAACGGGCGCCGTCGGCCGAAGCGGGAGTTGCAGTTGTCGCTGTAGTAGCCGACAAGCGGCTGGACGATCATGCCGGAGATGGGGCCACAGAGCCAGATGAAGGAAGCGAACTTGTGCGGGATCCCCAGGAGCTGGACGTAGGGGGTGAGGAGGGAGAGCTGCAGCGCCCACCCGAATTGGATCCCGGCGGCGATCGCCGCCACCATGATGATCTTCCACCACGGTGCCTGAGGTGCCGGAGCAGCTTGCTGCACCTCCAGGGCGGACGGCTGCTTTTCCTCACTGGGGTTCACGTTCATCGACCCTTTTTCCATCTTAATTCTCGATTAATTAGTTAGTAGATATCTGGGCTTTCTCTTCTGTGATTTATTTATATATATATTGTGAGGATTGAGTTTACAGATATGGATCCAATTGAAGGAGGCAGTCTAAGGCCGGCCGGATTTTATAGGAAGTCGATCTTGTGGGGCAGTGCTAGGGGCAGCTTGCTGTCACACTCAAAACCAGCAGCTTATCTTTGATCTTACTTTGTCACCCCGAAAATAGCCCACTTAGCTTGTTCTTTCATTTCTAAGCACTGATCGGTTTTTTATTAGCTAGACGAAAACATTATTGCAGATTTAATACCGACCTTTAACTAGGGGTGCGCGCGGTCCGGAAAGGTCTGGTAATGTACCCATGAGGTTTCTAACAGTTCGGTACAGTATGGTTCTAAGGTTGAAACCATTCGATACCATGTCGTTTCGGAACGGTACGAAACGGTTCGGTACAATGACAAACACATGCCGAAACATTGGACAAATATTGCAATTAGTATATATCATCACACCGGCCAATTCACATGAAATGTTGATAAAATACAAGAAAGTGCATACTAATTAAATACTAGAAAAGATTCAAGAGGTTGACATTTTTGTATTTAAATTCACAAATACTCAAATAGTGCAACACGATTAAGTAAAAATATAGCAAAACAACGATACACTAGTACAATATCATCTTTATTAAGTTCATGTATAACACACACATGTATCTATAAAATTGTTGGTCTATAAACTATATGTATTGGTATTGCAAAATATAAAAATCTCAAGGGCATTATTTTTGAACGGTTCGGTCCGATATTTTTCGGTTCTCAAAATCTAGGACTGGTCCCGTCTTGTTTGAAACGGACGGTTTCGGTTCGGGATTAAATTCTATAGAACCGTTTAAATACCCGATATTCGGTTCGGTACCATTACGGGCCGGTTCGATATCGGTTCGGTTCGGTTTTTATGCCCACCCTTACCTTTAACTATTTTTAGAACATAAAAATATGAGCCCGTAGCTAGTTTAATGTATTTGGACCTGCCTTTTTCAACCAACCCGCCTGATATATCCATACGTTACATTTTTTAGATAGTTTAATTTGAATGGCTACGTCCCACGTTGCGCATCTATTACTTCTTCTGGTTTCAAAGACAGTTAAGAGATCGACTTTCTTTTAGGCTGAGCTCAACCTCAAAGTAACAACTCACACACTTGAGTTTGATCGAGGGGATGAGCCGCTTCACACCCTACGATCATCACACTCGATGAAAATATTTACGTATAACCTTAGAAAATTTGAAACAAAATCCAAAGGTTCAGTCAAATTTTTTAGTAGTTTGTTTTGTCTCTTATTTGACGGAACAAAATCCATCAGAAAAATACTCGTTACCAATCCATACCATATCCACGCCAAGTTTTATAGCTATTAAAAATTTGAGCTACTTAAAGTGCCAAAATTATATTAATGTTTAATAATTGTGCCAAATCCGTGCCACAGTTGTGCTAAAAAAGTTTGAATAATCCTTACGGATGGTCTCTCTTTCCCTCCCTCTCTCTAGCTCTCTCGCACACAAAAAAGGCGAAAGAAGAATTTGAATAAGTATGTCAGGGAACACAATCCGCGAAGGGGTAAAGAGAACAACAAGGGAAACAAACGGACAATTCCAACAAGGATAGATTTCATTGCCAGGCGTGTTGGATTATTTCCAATTAATATGGCCTAAGGACCAATATTAATATGTGTTCTATATTTATGTATTATATATATAATTATGTGTTATATATATGTGTATTATTTGATGGAAATAATACATAAGGGGTACCATTGTGGTAACACCCTTTAGGACAATAAATGAAAGGTTGTGACTATTGGTATTTCCCAATATAACTACTCCCCTTGGCATTGAAAAAAACGGACAACACCATAACAAGAGGAGAGAGGACATCACAAACTCCTTACTATTGCATACTCCATCTATCATTGTCCTAAAAGGGATTACACATCCATTTCCTTAAAGTAATGGCATCATCTTCTTCCATAGTCTCTCAAATGAACATTGGATACTCTCCAAGTAAGTTTCCATAAACTTACAATTATGATTATTTGTGTGATTTTATTTGATCTTGGTTATATATGATGATTAGTTTTTCTATCATTTGGTATCAGAGCATTTAGATAACATCACCATTCAATGAAAAAGAAAATTGTTTGAAGTGTTTGATTATTACTGTTACACCTTTATGCGAGGCTTTGTTCTCTGAGATCGGCCACTTTTGCAGCGTTTGATGATGATGACAATTTGAACGTAAATATTTTGTGTAATTTGGTCTGATGAAATCATCGCCGAATAGACTGACTCACTCTAAAATCAGAATTGAGTGACTCACTTTTAAGACTTCACTTTTATGTCTGGTTCAGTCTACAAACATGCCATGTTGTCTTACTATGAAAATATTTATTTTGTATATCCTTGGGATTCTAGCAATGTGCATGCATCTGTATATTTCGCATACGTTTTGGGTCAAGCCATTGCGTGTAACCTGTTCTTTCTTTTCTCTCTACGTCAGGCTAGAGCAGGAGCTGATGTTGTCAGTCCTAATGATATGATGGATGGTCGTGTTGGAGCAATTCGAGCAGCCCTTGATGCTGAAGGATTTAACGATGTGTCTATAATGTCCTACACAGCAAAGTGATTGCTCATTGAAACTATCTTATCATTGAAAAGTGATTGTGAAATCTATGAGAAGCTCAACTTCTGCAGTAAAAATAGAATACTGCTTAGGGACCATTATATATGACAACCCTGCTTATAAAATGTTGCAACATATGAAGATAATCTTGAAGAATGAAGGAGCTTGTGCCTGAGTTTTCCTTATGAAGAAAAAAATCACCGATGCCTTGAAATAGAGAGTTAAAACGCCATTTATAGAATCTAAGACATCAGTGAATACGATTTAGACTTTTAGCCAAACTTTGTGTAGAGTTTGCCTAAAAATAATGAGGCGTAAGGCACATGATTATTTACACACAATGTGAAATGCTGCATTTGTCGCAAATGTACATTAAGCACAGTGAGGCTATTATTCATTTTTAGTTGATTTACTGATTCTATTAGTCATTATGTAATGTACAATCTTGCCAACCAGGATAACTTGAGCTGTACTGCAGGTATGCAAGCTCCTTTTACGGTCCTTTCCGAGAAGCACTAGACTCCAATCCACGTTTTGGAGACAAAAAAACGTACTTAGTTAACTTATGTGGATTTCTTTTAATTTAATACATTACTTTGACTAATCGGTACTCAGATTTTTTGTGGTTTCTTTTCTTAAGTTATCAGATGAATCCAGCAAATTTCAGGGAAGCGTTGGTTGAGATGCATGAAGATGAGTCTGAAGGGGCTGATATACTCCTGGTAGTCTTCTAATGCATTTAGTTGGCTCGTGTCTTCCACAAGTCCATATTGGATTGTTTATATTTTATCTATTTTTACTATAAAAAGGAGAGCTACAAGTAACTGACTTCTTTATATATTGGGGCAAAGGGAGTAATTAATTAGTCTTCCCTTAATAAGTTTTTTCTTTAATAAACAGGTCAAACCAGGTCTACCTTACTTGGATATTATCAGGCTTCTTCGGGATAGATCTCCTTTACCCATAGCTGCATATCAGGTGTTGTAAACATTCAATATTGCTTGCTTGCCTATGCTTATAAAATAATCTATTTTAAATGATGGATGGATCTATGGAAATTGTAAGATTATTTTCTCTGCTTTTCTAGTTCAAGGCAATGGATTAATTACATGAGGGATTCCAATTATTCCTTTCAAAATGGAGATTCTTTATAAGAAATAAGGAACATGTGGCCACATCTAAACCCCAAAAATATAGGTGCTAATTTATCGGACCAATTATACTCCTATAGTTTGGGAATTAGGTCATTGGAAGGAGGTTGGGTATGAGAAAACATTTGTATAAACCCTCAGATTATAGCAACACTGAGGAAGATCATTCAAAGTAAAAAAAGAGTGAACATTTGTTTGAAGGTTTTGATGCCAAAGCTACATATTATAATGGCACATTACATGTATCTGTGCATTTGATCGGGAAAAATGAATTTCAATTCCTATTGTGAATCTGTCTCTGATGTCGTTGAGGTGTGAAATGTCAAGGACAAGGTGTACAATGTGTTATGTGCTTTCTTGGGTGGTTGTGTATCTTTGCCTTTCCACAGGTTTCTGGGGAGTATGCCATGATTAAGGCGGGTGGAGCTCGCGGAATGATTGATGAAGAAAAGGTCATGCTGGAGTCACTAATGTGCCTTCGACGGGCTGGTGCTGACATCATTTTGACATATTTTGCTTTGCAAGCTGCTACGTACTTGTGTGGCGAGAAGAGATGAGGCTTAGCGTGTAATTGATGAAACAGGAGTGCGTGTAGGAGGGCACTCAGATTACGTTGTATAAAAGGTAGTCCCTTAAGGCACAGGGTTAGGTGTAAGAGATCAGATCTTTGATAGGTCTATTCTTATTTATGAGTCCTATAAGATGTAAGGAAATAAAGTATGTATCAGGAAATGTATGTCTATAAACAACTTTCATTTTTATCAAGTCCATTTAATGGTTAGAAATCATAAGAACATTGAAAAGTGACATGTTTCATTGAGTTCCTTGTTCCATATTGGAAGTGACTATCATTTGTATATATTCCTTCGATCACTTATTTTCTTCATACTTTTCTTTTTCTGTTGTTTCTAAAAGGCGGTTATAAGAATTGCATTGTGACTTTTGATGGATTATACAATACTTAATTTGAATATAAATTTTTTTTTATTAAAAATAATCAATAGACCGTCCATTCATCTTGTTTCTTCACATGCATGAAAGGAAGTGCAAAGAACAAAAATGATACTCCCGTATACAGTAATATACGTAAACTGACAAGCAAACAAAATTTGTTTTGTAAATGTACTGTACATAAATTTGATCCTCAAGTGCTATGGAGTATATTATTACTATGATTATGAAGTAATTTATTAATGTTGTCTTTAATCCTGGCTCTAATATAGTTGTTAGTATCAAATATATTACCGAGTATTA